TGCGCCTTCAGGTGTATTGCACCATTCAACTGTGATACGGCGGTTGTTGGTATCCTCACGGGCCGTAGTCGAAAACATCGCAAGAAACTGCCATAAGCGCAGCTTTTTGGGATCAAGCACCCCGCATGGAGGTCCACACCCAATCGTCTTATGTTCGTGGTCTTCATAGCCCATCCAATACGACGTCCAGAAGCATTGATGATCTTGATGTGGTAAGTGTGCTTGTCATCGTATGGCGCATTGAAGACGATCTTCGAATTCGGCTGAGTGTTGATATCACCCGGTGGAACTGAAGCCATAGCTGAACTCTTCCGCTAGCAGACTGCTGACAGAAAAATGTTTAATTAAATTATGGAGCTGACTTGAGTATAATGTTAAAAAATTTATGTACGAATGGATCAAATTCAACAGACGTTTTTCGCATTTTACAGGATATTCGAAAAAGAGCTTGTACTTGTACAGGAAAAGGCTAGACTATTAAAATACATGCAATTTGCTTGCTGTTCTACTCAAAGTGCTTTATCTCGATAAAATTGTACGAAAATACTTCTGTTTTATTGCTATAATGAAAGCTTTGCGTTTGTTTGGAAATTTTGCTTACAAATTAAAACATCGCGCGACTTGCCAATATCTAACATCTCCAACACTCTTTTGATTTCAACGTCATCTTTCGCTCAATCATGATTTACATTCACCATTTGAGCAAGGGCGATTTTTGACGTAGGTACAATATTGAAACTATAGTTTTTCATAACTCTTTGTCACGTCATGTCATCCAAATGTAGCCTAATCAAAAATTTTGATATCGAAATCTTTTCGATAGTCATCCATTCAGTGTGGTGACTATCAACTTAGTGAAACCTCGCCTCATTTTATCAAGATAATACAATTCGACAGTTTGCCTCGATGGTTGCGAAAACTTAAGCTACCTTCGGTGGTGAGCTGCATTTTTTGTGAAAAAAAATTTTTGTTTTAATCTCAAATAGCATCTCTGAAAGCCGTTTTTACGTTCTATCCGCAGATGGTAAAAAGATGATAACTGAGGGTTGCGAAGAAGCGTCCTCTTTTCTCGATTTTGAAGTTGCCAAATATTTGAGAAACCACAAAATTCTTGGAAGCTTGATAAACGCTCTCTCAACTGGAAAAGTCTATGATGCTACCTTTGAAGAATTGTCTTTATCAGCTCATTAAGCTCCGGTACCTAGTAGGAACCTGATGCTCGCCTGATAACAGACGACGTACTCAACTGCGCTTCTGCAGCGAATGGGGACACCTCATGAATCAGGTTACTCATCCTAGTAATAATTACACCGCTCTTATAAGAAATAAATATTTG